CGCATCCAGGAAATGATCTACGAGCCGGATGAAGACTCGGTAGATGTTTTGTCACGAGGAGCAGAGCGTCGAGTACATGTACTGTCAGGCAGCGAGTCTTCAAAGTGGAAAACTTTCGAAAATTTCGTAGTTGATTACAGCTCACCAAAGTGCGATTATGGTAATATAGCAGTGATGACTCGGCGACAGACGAAAGCCAAGAAACGCGTCAGGTTTGCAGATGAACACTCGGAGGATGTCTCAAAGCTCAAGAAGAGCATGAAGAACGACGAGAGACGTCCACCGAAGATTCAATCGGCCAGGATTTGCCAGACCATCCTCACAAGACTGTACCAGCGGCATTTCCCGATGCGGAAGATGTTGACCCGGTAGCGATACAGCGGGAGCGACGCAGACGGATACTAGTGGCACAAGACGAGGAACAGAAGTGGCTTAACATCAAGAAGGTGCTTCAGGGCCAAGCACAAGAGCTGAGTTACAAAGAAGCTCGAGATGCCTGGAAGTATGCTGACCGGTTCGTGTTATCAGAAGACGGCGTGCTTCACTATCTTGGATTGAATCGTCGGTACGACCACGGTTGGCAAGAGGAGACCAAGCTGCGGCTTGTGGTACCAACAACGATGATTCAAGAGGTCCTGCAAAACTGTCACGACTCGCTGGAAGGAGGACATCAAGGTGTGGTGAGAACGTTCCACCGCGTTAAGTCCGATTATTATTGGATCGGCTTGTATGCAGACGTGGAGAAGCACGTGAAGTCCTGTCCAGATTGCAGCTCGAGTAAAAGCCGTCCGCAGCTTCGTGGATACTCACCTGGCAACGTACTAGCCGAACGACCTTTCCAGATCATCTCGATGGATTTTGTGATCCCACTACCGAAATCTCGCAGGGGACACACGGCGTTGCTCCTATTTCAGTGCTCGTTCACGGGATTCGTTATTGCCAAGGCTATGTCGGATACGACTGCACTGAGTGTTGCCCAAGTGTTCGAAGAATGTGTGTACCGACGGTTCGGAGCCCCAGTATTAATAAGGCACGACCGCGACCCACGCTTCATGAGCGAGGTTTTTTAAGCATTCGCAGAGATGATGCAGTCAAGATCACGAGCGACTTTGAGCTATCGGCCATAGGCTAATGGACAGCAGGAACGCTCGGTGAAGTCGGTGATGGGTTCCGTACGGGTGTACGCGGAAGACCCTCTACAGCAAGATTGGGACGAAATCGCGGAGAAGCTGGTATTTGCTATTAATACTTCTCAAGACACTACGAGGAAGGAGACGCCGTTCTACCTCGTTCACGGTTGGGATGCTCAGTCGACGCTGCGGGCAATGTCGTCATCACTCAAACAAGGGCTCGGCAAGCAGTCTGACGCATTAGCGTGGCGGCGTGAGATCAATCGACAACATGAGGTCGCCCTCACTATGGCCAAAGATTATCAGGCTGTAGAAAAGAAGCGACGAGCAAAAAAGCATAATGATGCTCTGAGTCGACTGGAAAAACCGCTGTTCCTCAACCAAGTGGAAACGAACACTCGGCAGACCCTCTAGAAGCTTCAGAAGAGATGGAAGATCCTGCAAGAGCTCCACCGAGATCTCTTTTTGAGATTGGGAGCCGGGCGTGGTTGTACATGGAACGCGTCAAACCGGGCTTGACAAAGAAATTAGCTCACCGATGGCATGGACCTTTTCGGATCAAACGCAAGGTGGAAGAGTTTGCGTACGAGCTGGAACTGCCTGATCGAAGTGGGTATCGCTTTTACCCAGTAGTGCATGTGTCAAGACTCAAGGCTGTCAACGAATTCAACAGTCGACCGAACACTCGGTTGGTACTTGACGCGACTAATGAAGCAAGACTCGACTTCGATGAGGAACTACTACCTGAAGACAGCTGGGAACCAGATCAAGTTGCCGGTGAATATGAAGTCGAGGCCATCCTCGACGACAGAACACCACTAACGACGAGCACGGAGCGTGCTGTACGCGAGTTTAAAGTCAAGTGGGTTGGCTATGAAGATACAACTTGGGAACCATCATCAAACGTGTCATGTGGAGGTCTGCTGTACGACTATTTGCGAGCCAAGAAGAGCGAGAATCGGCTGCAGATGGCGCAAGTGGCGGACGAAGACTAGCGTGACTGGATCACGTGTGAACTGTCCACAGGGCGATGCAGCCTGTGGTAACAGACGAAAAACGTTACTGCAACAACAATTTGTATATGCATTTGAAGAACAACATGAACATGATTACGCTGTGGAAGTGGATTAAGAATAAGAAAACATGAATGCCGACCGGGGAGCGACCACTGAAAGCGAAGTCACGCGGGATACCTCAACAGTTAGCTGAGATGCTGGAGAACATCGTGGAACATGCAGCGAGGATTCAAAGCGATTCCAATTGCCTGGCCGCGGGGGCCACGGGTGCCAACGAAGTCGAGTCACCACTCTCCTTCTCCTCTTCATCAGGAACCTGAGCCTCAGCAGCTGGAGCTGCAGCCGGACCTTGCGAATCTTCGGCACCAGCTTCAACAGGAGCAGCAGCCGGAGCGGGACGTGGAGTAACCGGTGGCGAGTCAAACAAAACGCCAGGTCGGAATAAACTCATTGACATCCAGAGACGGATCAACAACCACGCTTCGATACACTTCCACATAACGCGTACCACGAGGATTGAAAAGCTCCGGATTACGCTGACACGGGAAGTACGTAGTGTTGTACGGGTGCCGATGCGGCGCATTCATCCATCCAGTACGCCATGGCTGACGAGCGTCGAGAGCCGGAACTTCGGAAAGCCAGTCAGATGTCCGAGGTGCGAACGACAAATTTTCAATGGGGTACCACGGCTTCGACGGCTCCAAGAGCAACTCGTTCGGGTAATGCCGACAGCGCGTCAGGAACAGGTTGTATCGCAGCGAGGACATCATCGATACCTACGGCTGTCTCGAGGCGACGCTGAGTGTGTATATCGCCGTGGAGAGGAGGCGCAACGCTGAGCTGCACTTGGTGACGAGCCATTGCAGTCAAGTACGGGATTATCGAGGTCATCATGTGATCGACCGATGCCTCCGTACATTCAGCCAGCATGGCGCGCAGCGAATCTTCGGTGAGGGGTGGCGGACCACCAGCTGGGGCAGGAGGAACAGCAGGAGCCATCTCCGCGGGTTCAGCAACGACGGGGAGTACTGCAGGAGCTATCGCAGGGAGTGAAGAGTCCGGGGCAGCGGGCGCCGGAGTGTCGGTTGATGACGCTGCTGTCGAAGGAAGTGCAGCAGACTGAGGGGCGTTCGAACCCTCGGTCTTGCCCTCCTGAGAAATAAGTCGAGTGACACGAGGTGATGAGCAAGGTACCGATGATTCAGGAGAAGGATGGGCATACGTACCTCCAGCTGCTCACGTTCGCGACGTCTACGAGGATTGAGACGCTGAAAAGCGTCGGACACGGCTCGATTCAGACGCTTGGACATACGGTGGCGAGATGGTGAATTGAAGAATGAAGAAATGTCACAACGGGCACCAGTACCGTGGCTTCCATTGCGACAGGGGCAGTTGTGGTGTAGTGATTTCTCCGTGGTTGCGGATTATCACCCGTCGACAAAGACGTGACACCGCCCAAGTTGTTCAAGCGACGAACCCTCGGTCGGGTGATGTACGGAGACGCCAAGGTGCAAGGGACTCGACGGCGTCACCTCCGAGTTTTCAACAAGTATCGGATACGGCCCTATGTCACTGAATCCAGGCTGTCCTTATTATTAATAATGGACTGGCCGGATTCGCATTCAGCGGACCATCTACGGTACTAACCCTCAGTGGCGGTTGGGATGAGTTCGCGGAAGACTCAGCGACCTTTGGAAGACACGTTCACCGTCTGGGACAAGGCGCAGACCGTTAAAGATGCTCATGCGACGGTGCAGACGACGCTTGGCATGCAAGAAGATCCATAACGGATCATTGTTCACTTGATATTTGTATACTTGATTAGGACTTCTTATTAGGAATAGACCCGAAAGGGTAAGCTTAAATACAGAACAGAATTTCCACTCAAGCACACAGAGCGACGTCCGGCTTCAAGGTAAGCGTCAGGTCAAGCTTGTTTGAGTGTGTTATGCCTGTCGGTGAACTCGAAGCTCTGTAGCGAGGGTTCATCCGGCAAGGCCAAGAGACTTTGTGTATTGGCCGATTATTATCGGGAGGTTTTACGTGACGGCTTATTGTTGCCTATTTGCACGACTGGGGGTGCTTGAATGGCCAGCCTTTTATTCTTCCAACAGAGTGTTGAACACTCGGTGATCTCGTAAAAGGCTTACCCGTGCCTGGTACCCTTCCGCTGTTGGGACCACGAGGATTCAAAACACCTGCTAGCTTTGCTCGTGCTAGTAGCGTGTTCTTATTTTACTGGTTGGCCTATATAAGTAGTTTACAAGGTCCAGTTTGTCCCGGTGCAAGGGCAGAACTGGGGTCTTCAGGTCCGCCCGAACGATCGTTTACTATCCTAGTAGACGTATTGTTGTGGGAACATCCTAACTACATTTGTAGCTAGAGTTCACGTGGGATTTCCAACACCACAGTACACATTCCTTCTGCTGCAGCCGAGGTCATCCAGAATCCAATCCATTCACTTCCCCGATCTTCTCAGCAGGGTTGCAGCTACAGGTAACACGTACCCCTGTATTGGCATGCGTGATTTGTTAATGCTTGTAAATATTTATACATGTAAGTATTTTAGGCCGTGCTCGACTACTCCATTTCAGCGAGGTTTTATTCTGATTCTTGAGGTTTTTGTACCTAAGTTTTAGAAAAAACCTCAAATGCCTGCTAAAATGAGGCAGATTAAATGGATTTTTTTTTTGCGAAATCACGTTTTCAAGTCGAGCGATAATGTAAACTGTAGTAAAGCATTAAACAAAATAATTTTGTTTTACTGTACAATACCATATGCTGAAGTCTCCCCAAACTTTCACATAAATTCACATCAAATCCTACGGCCAGTTTTGCAAAAGCTCCGACCACTCTCACTATGGCGTTCATACCCCTTACACCACCACCTCAATGCGAGAATGAGAGCGAGACGCCGTACAAGGGCACACCTGTATGGAATGTCAAGGCTACCATCGCTAAGTACCGAGTGGCTCTGGCTGCTGTTCTGCTTGCGCTCATCGTAATTATTGCGTTGGCAGCCTGCGGTGTCTTCTCGTCCTCGTACGGTTCCTCCTCCTCCTCCTCCTCCGCCACAGGTAACGTGACCATCTACCACGCAGGATCATTGGTTGGTCTCATGGACGACAAGCTAGCTCCGGCTTTCACCGACGCCACGGGTATAGCGACGTCGCTGGTGGCCAAAGGTTCTGTCAAACTGGCCAATCTCATCATCAATGGTAGCCAATCTGACGTCTTCATCAGCGCCGACGCTTCCCTCAACTCGGAGCTTCTCATGGGCGCAGCCAACAACAACTTGATCTCCTGGTACATCAACTTGGGAGAGACGTCCATCGGCATCGGGTACTACCCGCAATCTCCCTACACTGACGTGTTCGCAGCCATCCAAAATGGCTCGATGCTCTGGTACGAGGCTCTACTACAGAATCCCGACATAAAACTCGGACGTACGGACCCTGATGCCGACCCCAAAGGCTACCGCACCGTCATGATGTTCGAACTGGCCGAGGAGTATTATAACACCACTGGATTGGTATCGGGTATCTTGGGCAATGCGACCAACCGCGACCAGATCTACTCCGAGGAAAATCTAGAGATTTATCTGTCGTCCGGAGACCTGGATGTTGGTTTCTTCTATGCCGTCGAGGCAGGCAGCTTGAGTGGCATCGACTTCATCACGCTGCCCGAGGAGATCAATATGGGCAATCCAGCCCTCAACGACGAGTATGAGACCATGTCGTACACCAACTCCCAGACTGGGATGGTCTACAACGGATCAGCGTCGATCTACACCGTAACTATCCTCAACAACGCAACACACATGTCGGAGGCGGAAGAGTTCGTGGCCTACTTGCTGTCGTCGGACGGACAGGCGATTATGACTGAGCAAGGGATGGAGGCAGCTACTCTCACAGCCTACGGCGACACTTCCGCTATCCCCTCGGCTATTGCGATGTACCTGTCGTGAAGGATAGTGTCTGGTCAGATCAATCCTGTCGCTGCAGACTTGCGTTGAAGAATGAAATGGAAGGCGCGAGAGAATGAATGAATCTTCAATTGTCTTCAAGTGACGATCTGATGTCAGAGCTGCAATGCCTTCGACCAAGTTTGTGTGGCTGCTCCGTTTAGCTATAAATACTCGGATTACTGAACTGCTATCCACTTGCACTTGTTTACATGGGTTGGATCTCTTGTCTGTGGAGATATTGCATTGCTACGCATTTGGATGACCGATGCTTCCGCTGAGAACTTTTGTAGCGCTCTCCTGCTTCGCACGACCTTGGTTGTTATTGCCGTGACGGGGGAGTGAAGATCTCGACTGCGGCGGTCAGCTTCATACAGTCGGAGGCAAGAGTGTCCTCGCCTTGTGTTTCGGTGGTGCTGGCAGTGATTGTCTTGGGTGCGAGGTCTTCCACAGTGTGGATCAGAAGTAGATGCTGTTATTAAAACAGAGCGTGCGTTGCGTTTAGCAGAGGGTGAAGCCGCTCGGTAATGTGTCTGGTTGGACGACGCTCTAACTTTCGAGTTGCACCAACTTTTTGCCGAAATGCAAACAGAGCAATCTCATCCAGCCACTTTTCATCGTCGTCTTGAGGCTGCAGCGCGATGCACCTCTGTGGATCGTGTGATTTAGACCCACATACAGCGATACTAGTGACGGGAGTAGGGTGGAGGTAGAAGGGTATCTCGTCATCCCACTCTGACAATCTCGACCAAAACTCGCTTATGTCACTGTAGACCGATCTTCTGTCGCTGTTAGTGTCGTCGTCCTTAGTGCTGTCGTTAAGACCGTTAGCTGCTGCCTCACGAGCCTCGCTACTTGACAGAGGACCGGTAATACTCGGAGGAGTGGCGAAGTAGTCCAGACTTGCCCATGTCCGCCAGCTTGCGAGGATATCAGTCTCGGTTGGAGAGGAAGGACCACCAACTTCTAGCATGGGGATGCCATCCATCAATTTTTCCGCCCTCGTGCCCTCCATCACCGTTTCGAGGGTTGGTCTGTGTTTGCGTTGAGTGATGTTGCGTCTTGAAGGAAGGACGGGTGCGATATTCACCTGTCGTGCACGTGCATCAATGACCGGGGGCACCGCAAAGTTGGTACAGGCAAGTGCATTCTCAAGTAGTGACCACCAAGTCTCGTAAACGGCACTGGTTGGAGCGCATAGTGTCACGATGTGGAACACCGGACCGTAGCGAATCTTGAGTTGGTGGCGATGTACATGCTTTCCAGACACGGACATGATCCTGGTCGTGTTACCATCGAGCGGTATCTCCAGCTTACCTCCAAGTATCTTAGGACGAGCGATAGTCAGCAGACCCTGCTGGCTCTGATCAGACGACAGTTGGGAGGCATACTTGAGCGAAACCACAGCCTTGTGCCTGAGAAAGAAGAGGCCGAGGAAAAATAAGATAAAGGGGGTCAGTTTGTTGCTTTCCGACGGGCGGCGATGTGACCATGCAGCTATAGATAAGAAATCTCACCAGAAAAGACCGCAAGCCCGCATTTTCATGGTACAGTGGAAAGAATGTCGAGAGCTCATACTGAGAGCTTGAACGAAAGACGGTCGATTACGACTCTGCGTTGCTGCTTTGTCGCTTTACTCAGGTAATCCCTTCTCTACTGCAGCGCAAACTACAGAATGAAGTAGAGGCTCCATCCCCGGTGCTCAATCTCGCTGGAGTGTTTCGCTGGACTTCAACGCTTTGTGTTGCTATTACGTGCCTTAAATCCTCTTTTCGTATTGCTTTACGTGCTTTAAATCCTCTTTATGCTATGGACTGTTATTGAGAGCGAGGTATGATCATCGATGCTCTCAAAACTGCATGAGGTTACATAAATGTATTACTACAGACTAATGGTGTTTGCCGATATTAAAACCAGCAGAGTTGGGCTGCTGATGTATGAGGTTTGCCTACACGAAACAAGATCATCGATCTCTGCACTCATGTGCTCAAGCCTCCTTGTTGGTGTGGACGTAGCAGGACTGGTTTCGAAACTTTCGAAACCAGTGCTGCCTGCTACGTCCACACCAATTCGAATCGAAAGAGACGATTCTGGGACAGCGCAGATGCAAAGGATTTTTTTCTGCCGAAGACGACGCAGTTGCTCATTAGTGACGGCCTTGTACGGACATCGTACTGGCCATTTGTAAAGGTATCTTTTTAGTGGTATTCGTCAAGTTGACAAATTGACGACGTCGACACATGATATATAAACGAGAACGGCCTTTCGGTGAATTCACTGTGATCATGTTTTTGTTTTTACGTCATTTTGGTACCGCATGCAAGATCTCCTACTTCAGAAATCAAATAATTGCCTGTTCTTGATTTTTTTGCTGGACACTAAAACGCTGTTTTGTTTTTTTTGTACTGAAAATGTTTGTCTATGTCACTCGACAACACCATTTCCAAGTCAAGTTGGCAAATTTCTCAAAGCAAGTGAGGTTCTTAAGAGAAACCCCTAAAATAGGTTTTATTGAAGAAAAAGTGCTTTTCCCACAAAGTGGAAATTGGCGCGTTGAGGTTCCCAATCAAGTGAAGACTGGCCAGCAGTTCTGGCGCCAATTTGTTTCACGGATCACCAACCCTTCTGTGTTGTGCTCTAGCCCCATCTTTCTCGTCATTTCACTTCTGCGCTGTTCCTATAGCATGTCGTCAACGCCCACCCCCACAAGGAAATACGAACGCACTGTTGCAAGGCACGTGTCGTACGTGCTTTTTAGGATTCAGGATGTCATCAAGCACAATGGCGTTCCGTACAGCACCGCTCGTCGCGCCGTTCTCAACGCTGGAACTGAACCGGGGGCTTACGTAGGACTTCGCGACGTTTGCGTTAAAATGACTGTCCCAGTCATGGGCCAGCTGGAGGTATATCTCGACGAGTATTGCCGCCACACCTGTGGACAGATGCGCGACAGGTTACTCAGCGATATGGGAGTGTCCGTGAGCACGTCTTCCGTGCACCGAGCAATCCAGGGCATGGTCCACAGCTTAAAGAAGCTGCGGATCGAGAAGATTACGATGAATAACGACGAGAACAAGACGAAGCACAAAGTGTTTGCGGACAAGGTGGAGAAACACACGTTTGCGGGTGACATGATCGTGTTTCAGGACGAAACCAATTTCAACATGTATCTGTCGCGTAGTGACGGCTACGCGCGGGTTAGAGAGCGTGCTATAGTGGCGTTGGTACCATCTAATAGAGACAACTTACATGTACAAGGTGGTGTTTCAGCTGGCACCGGTATCGTACCCATGCTAACACACTCTGGACCTAGAAGAACGCGCGCTTTGGCGCTGATCTCTTTACGGCAGCGTAGGCGACGGACGAGTACCGTGAGCTGACACCGTCCATGGAACTAGGAAAGTAGAGATTTCAACGAGATGTTATCATATCCACTTGATCGCAATGTCGACTAGTAGAATTTTCACTTTGTGAGAAATGACTTTTTCTGATGCTTTATTTTTGTGCATAAACTAACACGCTCACTAGCTTTGGGAATCTTTGCCAACTTGATTTGGAATGGTGTACAGTAGTAAATTGAAGTCTGTTTCCGCTACAAACGGCACTTTTCCGATAGCTTAGAAACCACATGACACTCACCGTAAACCACGGCCTCAGTGTGACGCAGGGTCTTAATGCAACAGCGTAAAAACAATAATATCGGGAAAAGAAAAAGTGCGGTGCTAAAACTAAAGAGACGGGACCCCATCTTAGTACTAACGCTCGTAAAAAAAACGCATCAGCTTTTTTCAAATCTTTGCATGTTTGCATTTAATGGACAGAATTATTTTTTACCACGTAAAAAGTGCAAATTTTGCTAACATTTATTTAGTAACTAGCCGAGCGCCGCCGCTACGCGGCGGTAGTTCAGGTTTAGCTCTACTTGCTTGGACTTTCCGCCTCCGCTCCGCTTCGGCGGGATAACTATTAAAAAAAAACGCTGAACCCATGTGTATCTAAATTGATTTTTTTTAATGTCATTAATTTGGGTCAGTATTATGCTTACCGGAATTAAAAAATAAATTTTCCAATGATCTTGAATCAAGATTCTTGATGCAATCTCTTTTTTATTGCTGGCTATCACTGTATCTTCATCTCTCACCCAAAACCACCTGCACTTTAAATAACATTTATACAAACGTTACACAATATGTTTAGTTTAGCGTCGTGCTCGATATCACGGACCATTTCTGAGCCGCAATGAAACTTAGCTCACATGATAGTAATGGTCTGTCCAGCTTGCACTACTTATCCGCTTGTACTGCCTATGTGAGCTTGTAAGTAACTAAAGATTGTTCACTTCACAAAAACAATGAAAGCTAGAAAATATTCAAATTGTAATTTTTTTATGCATGTAGCGTTCATTTTGTGCCGATTCAGAATTAGTCAATAGACACTCGATTCTGTACCAGTTATGATTAAAGCATTTGGATAATGTGCCGCAAGACGCCTTGCTGTTGTTGTTGTTGACGGTACAGTAGTGCTTTCATTTGATAGTAAAACGATTATTTCAGGCTCCACGTTTATTAACGTTTCTTTATGGTGTCTACTTAGCCAACTATAATTATAACCTCTCGTGTTTTGTTGTTGTGTTGCCGCTACATTTAAAATCGTATCCTACGCCCCTGTCGGCGACACGTCCGCCAGTTAAGTAGTATCAGATTTGGCTGCCTATCAACTCTTAGAAAACAATGGCTTACAGCAGTATCTTAGAAAACAATGGTTACAGCAGTAACACATATGAGTTCATTCTATTCAATCTAAAACTATTTATCTTTATGGATCAGGTAACAACGTTTATTGGCACAGCGTTGTTCTTACGACCAGCTTCTGTTGTACGTGTACTACGATTTGGCAATTCAGTCAGCTACCTCACACTCAGATATGTTCTTATTTCTACAACAAAACACTTGTAGCTATTATTTTAGTCATTTTAACTTGCAGAAACTACTAAGAACATAGTATTACGTATATTATAGTATGGCCTCGAAAACACACGTGTACGCTAAGCACCTAGCAGCATACTTCATTTGAGAATAAGTAACCCTCAAATCTTAATAGCAACTTCCCATATTAATATAGCAGTATTTAAACGATGCCGCCATTGGATAATGGATAACCTGGTGCAAATCTCCATATGTGCTCTGTGAACCACATG